GTGGCTATTTTGATCATCTCTGTTTTCCAGGTGGGGAAACTGAGGATGAGAGAGGTTTAGTGACTTTCCAAAGATCACCCAGAGTGGGAACTCAATTCTAGATCTTTGACGCCAAAGTCTGGTTCTTCTCACACACCACACTGACGCAAGGCACCCCCATCGCCACGTAAACACCAGCCGGTCACTCAGCCATCTGAAAGGAGCAGGAAGAATGAACTCTGCCCCCTGGACCGACCCAGGAGGAGAATCTCAGCCTGGTGTTCAGTCCAGCAGCAGGGACCTGAGGAGCCTGAGCATGTCGGCCAGAGATGTGGCCTTCAGGACATTCCCAAGGACCCATGGGGACCCATTGACTGGTTTTTACTCCTTTCTATCAACTGCTTTCAGGATGGTGTCCTTTAGAGCTTTAGATAAAAACACACTTGGTGGCCCCTGTCTGTCCTTATGGTTCGTGGTGGGCGAGGGAGCTAGGGCATTCGCTGGTGTTTAAAATAATTTTTTTACAAAGAACGAAAGGATTGTGTTTTAGGGATTGCAAAGGGATGGGCCAAAGCTGGAGAAATTGTAAGTGGCAAAAATATTTGGAAAGTTGCAATGTTCAAAGCATGGCAAAGTTGTCATGATGGGTGTCTCTGGTTTCCAGTTAAGGTAACAGGGTTTTGGTAGCGGGTCTCAGGCCTCCTTGGGTTGGAGACAGTTCTGAGTGCCGGGTCAGCAAGCTGTGGCTTGGGAGTCAAATCCAACCCAAAGAAATGGGTCAAACGCTACTTTTTTAGCACCCACAAACTAAGAACGCATTCTGCATGTTTTTGCTGTTGTTTTAAATTTTTTTTTCTTTATTGATTTTAGAGAGAGAGGAAGAGAGAGGGAGAGAGAGATAGAAACATTGATAAGAGAGAACATTGATTGGCCACCTCCTGCATGTCCCCCACTGGTGTTTGGGCCCACAGCCTGGGCATGTGCCCTGACCTGGAATCGAACCAGTGACCTCTTGGTGCATGGGTCGATGCTCAACCACTGAGCCACACAAGCCCGGCACATTCTGCATGTTTAATTGGCTGAAAAATGTCAAAAAAATATTTTATGACATGAGAAAATTACATAAAATTCACGTTTCAGTGAATTAAAATGAAAGTGTATTGGAGCACAGCCAGGCCCTTCCCTAACACGTTGTCTCTGGGGGCTTTTGTGCTGCGGGAGGATAGCCGAGTCCTGGTGGCAGGGACACACGTGGTCCACAAAATGCAAAATATTTACATGTCCCGAGACAGGACATTCGCTGACCTCTGACCTAGTGCTCGCTTCGTTCAAAATAGGCACTTTCGATGACTTGCCAGGGGTTAAACCCTGGAATGCTAGATGTCTTTTGATGTTGCCCAGGGGGAACACAAGCCAAGCCCCCCCACCCCGCACCCTATTTGGATGACTGAGCTGCTACGGAATCTATGGCCATGTCCTGCCCCTGGTGGTCCAGGCCTGGCCCTCTGTGTGCATGGGCCTTTGGTGGCTCTGGCCTCCTCACATCTGGCCTGTGTTTAGTATCCTCCATCTAGAACCCCACCTCTCAGCCGCACAGCCCTAACCTTCACCATGGTAACAGCTAACAATTCTGCAGAGCTGCCTCTGGCCAGACACCCTGACTCAGGATGAGATAGATAATTCTAGAAGGTGGTATCTCCTCCTCCCATTGTTATTCCCATTTGACCCACACCGAAACCGAGGTTCAGGGACAGGCAGTCACATGCCCATGTCACACACCAGGAAGTGCCAGGGCCAGGACCCAACTGAAGTCATCCTGACTCCAGCGACTGCATGGCGGCGGGTGAGAGCGGGTGGGTGGGGTGCGGCTGCCCAGGTGAATTTCTTCATCAGTGTTCCTCTGGGGTTTCCTTCCTTGGATCCCCTCTGGCTTTGCAGACTCAGCATCTCTGCCCCGTGGTGCCCTGACTGCCCAGGGCCCCCAGAACAGATCCAGATAGCTTGGGGAGACGGTTTTGCTCTTGCAGGGATAACACCAAGGCCACAGGAGCTCCGGCGCAGTTCTCCCGGAGAGATTGGCCATACCTGTCTCTAGCACTCGGCACCTCCCCACTATGCCTTCCCCATTCCTTCTGGGGCGGCCTACACCCCACACCTCCATGCTGACTGCTGCCGGTTCCTGCCGGGACCTGTCCCTGCTGGGCCACGTGCCAGGCTCCGAAATGCTTCTCTCCTCCGTCCCCCAACAGAAACGTCCAACTGTGTAACGTGCTACCTCCCCCAGAAGACACTGGAGATGAACATTTCCCGCCAACTTCCTCTTTTCCTACCATGGCAACTCCGGCCTGTCTCCCGAAGGGGTCCACAGGGCTCCCCACCCTTCAGGTGGTAGGTGGACTCCCCAGATGCTTACCCGTCCTCCTTCCCCCACAAACCAGCCTGAGTATGTCGGGAAATGCCCTTCCTCCCACCTCTCCCCTGAGGATCGACTTCTCCCCGGAGGGAAGAGGAGACGGAGCGGGATGGGAGGGCCCCTCTCTCAGCCTCTCTCCCTTCCTTTCCTGCCAGACGGCTTCAGCTTTCTGCTGCCCTGCCCCAGGTCAAGGCTCAGTTGATTGAATTTATAGTTTCTTTTCCCTCCTTCAGTAGCTGTTCCTGCCCGAGGAGCTCAAAGTGCAGAAGGCAGAGAACAATAAAGCAGAATTCCTGCAGAGTGTGCTCACAGAAAGCAGGGCCCAGGGTGGGAATCGAGCAGACACTGAGTCGGTAGATGGGGACGACCATGGTGGTCTGTGGAACAGTCTGGGGACCCTCCAGTCCCAATCCTGAGCTCTGCCCTGGCCACGGGTCTCCCCTTCATTGTGAGCACTGCACCAGGTCTGGGACTCCGGGTTGAGATCCCAGGGCACCCCCATTCCCTAGCGGTTCCACATGTCCAGTGTGACTGTGGGTATAGGACCCTTCACACCATAGCTCTCCGCGTTTCTTTCAGGCGTGTCCCAGAGAGTTTGCAAAATGGATCCTTTAGGACTTCTGATTTCTGTCTAAAGCCAGCCAGTCTGAAGACAGAGTACAGTGGCGCATTTTGGAAGCTCAGGTGGGTTTTACAGAAAGAAAGAGGAAAAAAGGAAGAAGGAGAGGGAGGAAGGGAAGGAGGGAAGAAGTGAGGGAGGGAGGGATGGAAGGAGAGAAGCAGGGAGGGAGGAAGGGGGAGAGAGGAGGAGGGAGTGAGGGAAGGAAGGGGGGAGGGAAAGAGGGAGGGAGGAAGGGGGAGAGGGAAGAGGAGGAGATAGAAGGCGGAAGAGGGAGGGAGAGAGGAAGGGGGTTGGAGAGACCTCATTAGGTTGAAAGCCCAGCAGCACCTGCTTTGACAAGAACCTCAAGCCCTTGAAGCTCTAATTAGCCCTCTGTGGCCCTGGGCTCCGGCAGACGATGGGGCCTGTTTCTTCATCACACGCGTGCAGAGGGATGGTGCGGTTTTCTCCTGGCTTGGTTCATGTTGATGACACAGTGACTTCAACTCAGGTTTCTGGTTTTCTCTGTGACATATGTCATGCATTATTTGGAAAAAAAAAACCAATGTATTTCTCTATGTTTGGGAATTGGATTGAACCCTCAAAGTCTCATTTGTCTTACTGTAAAGACTTTACCGCCTTTCAATAGTCCCATCAATAAATATCACTCAGGAAATCTACCCAAACAGTGTGTTTTTATAGCCGTCGTTCTTTCCCGGTCACTACGTCCCCGGACTCTCTCTGAAATGTTTGACGGCCGGAGCCCGGGTTTCCTCTTTGCTGCTGACCTTACATTTCCATCGGGGGACGCTTCATCTTGGGAGGCTCAGCAGCATTTTTTTTTTTACACTTTCCTTGGCAATTCTGGTTTTAAAAACAGGCAAGTGCAAAAAAACCCCAAATCCCACCCTCTGATTCCAAGATGGCTTGGGCGGGGAGGGGACGGGTGTCATTCTGTGAAGAGCCTCCCGAGGCCATGCAGAGGGCATTATTCTGAAGAGCCACAGGGAAGAGTCCTGTCTCCCTTCTCAGACAGCCACTCCCAGGTGACTCCTCCGAGGTGACCCAGAACCGGTAAAGCCGGAGGGGCCAGTGTTACCCGAGTTGTCAGAGCCAGGAGCCACGCATAATAGACCCTCCTTAACTCGGGCCCCTTTCCACGTCCTTTTGTTCCCCGCATCCTTCGCCTTCATGCCTCCTCTCTCCTCACTGTGTCCCCCGTTATGGGGACAAATAAAGCATCCGTTTGACCATCCACTGACCCACCTGCCACCCCGTACTTCATCCTTCTCCCCAGACAGCCTCCCGAGATGATTGGTCTTTATCGGTCTCTGCAAACTCCTGCGTTGCCTTCCTCGCCCTTCCTGGGACTCCTGTCAACGGGAGGCCGCTTTATCCCTCTGCGAATGACGCACATGGCCTCCGCCCAGTCAAGCCCCAGCCTTTCACGCCAGTCCTCATTTTCCTAGGAACCTCTGCGGCCCTGGACACCTCTGTCCAGCCTTTCTCCCCGCTCCCTTTTCTCGGTAGGCTTTCTGAGTTCCCCTTGGACGGCACACGGTGCTCGTCGCTAGCCTCGCTCTGAGCTGGGGTTCGTAAGGTGCCTTGCATAGGGTGACCAGACCAAGATAGCCTTGAGGGTGAAAGGGCACTCGGTGACCACGGGCACAGACAAGGTCATCCAGGCAAACTGAGATGTCCGGGGAGGTCACAATCTCCTTACGGCTCAGGGGAGGAGGAAGTGGAGAGGAACTCGGGGTGGGGGGATCAGATCAAGGAACTTTCATAAACCCTCCCCAGAGCGTCTCAGCTACTTCTGCTAAAAGCCCCACATTAAACACTCAGCCTCACATGTACGAGAGGACTCCTTTCCCGGGAGGGACGTCAGAGCAGGGTTGGGGAAGCACCGGTGGTGAGGAAGGGAGGTCTGGCGAGGAAAAGGCCCAGCTGGTTGGACCAGGTCCGTGGGTCCCCGTCCAGTGTCCGCCCTCAGAGGTGAAGATGGACTCAGTGCTGAAACCGCTTCCAGGCTCTTCTCAGCCCAGGATTGTCCGAGATCAGTAGCACGGAGTGGCCAGCTGGGTAGGCAGCCATGATGACTTTGCACAAACTACCCCAGGAACTGATCACATCGAAGACGTTGGACAAGGAAAGGAAAAGAGCAACCGCATTGAAAATGTGGAGGATGAGAAAGGAGCTGGTAGCTCTGATGGCCCCCGTGTGAGCCTCCATGTGGGGTCCCTGGGGCCAGTGACATGGGCCCCCATGGGGAGGGTGTGTCTCCTGAGAGAGGTGATCAGCAGGGCGGCCTCCGGGATAAACATGACGAGGGGCATGAAGATCCCCAGGTTACGGAGGAGAAGCTGGTTGACCCTGTTGGTCTCAGCAAAGTACCCCAGCTCGGTGTCGTTAGAGGAGGGGCTGGGAATGGAGGTGTTCACAGACATACTCAAGACATCTCTGGAGAAAGGGAAGCTGAAGCTTAAGGACATGAGCAGCGACAGCCTCAGAAGCCGCGGCATCAGCGCCTCAACTTTCCTCTTCGCCCTGAAAGACAACGGGTGGGTCAAGTTTGCAATTTTCAGGCAGTAGAAGATGGTGAGCCAGGCGGCGAGCCAGAGGTTGGAGTAGTTCAGAAACACGACAGTGACTTTGAAAGGTATATACACCGTGTTTTGGTTGTACGTGGCCCGGAACAGGAGACTGTAAGTGTTCTCCAGCATCATCCAAATCTTCAGCAAGAGTCTAGAGAAGCTCAGCATCAGCAGAATACAGTCGTCCTCAGGGAGCCTTCCACGTCAGGCCCCTTCAGCCCCATGGATGACCACGACGAAGCCGTTCCCAGTGATGCCAGTGAGGCACTGGATTCCAGAGACCACCAAGGTGAAGACGACCTTGAACCTGGACATGTATTTGTCCATGTAATCCGTGTTTATCATCGCCATTCTCGTTGGCCCGGACTTTTAGCATTCCTTGCCAAGAACTGGTACCCGTTCCACAGCCTTCTGACCCTCACACAATGCTATGGTAATCCCCCCCAGTTAATGGTTATTTCTAATTTTTTTTCATCTGCTTGTCATATGACTACAGGTGAGAGGCTTGGCATGCAAATGATGGGAGGATTTGGTTGGTTTCTGGCTCTGTCTATTTTTCATAACGACCCATCTATCTGGGGCTTTTGGAGCTCTTTGGAGAGACCTTGAGATAGGATTCAGTCACAGCACCTTCCTCCCTTCCTCCCTTCCAGTCTAGACTCACCTGACAGGGCCAGGGTCCCAGGCGAGGAGCCTTAGTGGCCACTTGGCCTTTTTGCTCGTCTCACAAGACCTGCTACCTGCTAATCACTAGTCAAAATGCTTACAGCGTCTCTGATGGGCCGTCTCCTGCTTCCCCTACTGTCTCCCTTGGTTTGAGAGTTTTTGTTCCTATGGTTAGCATGTTTACAAAGAAGAAACCCATCAGCTCATCGATGAACATCTTTTACTGAGAGTCAAGTTTCTTCCAGAAAGGCCAGCTCACCCTGGCTGGTTTGGCTCAGCGGTTAGAGTGTCAGCCCGCGGACTGGAGAGTCCCGGGTTGGGTTCCCACTAAGGGCACGAACTTCAGTTGCAGTTTGTCCCCAGCCCCGGTTGGGGTTGTGTGGTTGACAACCAGTCGATGTGTCTCTCTCACATCAATGTCTTTTCTCTCTCTTCCTCCCTCTCTCCCTCCCGCTCTGTCTGAAGATAAATGCAAAAATGTCCTTGGGTGAAGATGAAAAAAAAAGAAACGTCAGCAATTATAATAACCTCAAGTAGCCCCCAGGAAAGCCAAAATTGGATGCCATGTGGGTGCATTAGAGCTGAGAAGGACTCGCGTGTCGCATTGTCATCGTGTGTGTGTATCACCAGCTGTAATTCACTGGCATCCGTATCAGTATCCGAGCTCAGAACCAGATGCTGGAAGCCTGGGCAGGCTTCCGAGTGTGCTGGGCATGGAGTTGGAGTTGGGAGATGTGACAAAATACTGGAACTAGAACTTTGATTCCTTGCTTTACCCTGACTGTGAAACAAAGTGAACTGAGTGCTTTATTTTATTTATTTATTTTTTTAAAAAGTTTCCCCCTTTATTGACTTTTTGAAAGGGGGGTAGAGGGAGGGAGAGATAGAAACATCGATGAGAGAGAACATCGATTGGCCGCCTCCTGCATGCCCCCCACTGGGGATTTGGCCCACAACCTGGGCATGTGCCCTGACCCGGAATTTAACCAGTGACCTTTTGGTGCATGGATCGATGCTCAACCACTGAGCCGCACCAGCCAGGCTCCTGTTACAGTTTTTATGACATGGATGGAAGGATGATAAAAATAGACCCCCCCCCCTCACGTTCATTTTCTTTCAAATGAAGAAGTCAGCTTCATTTTTATTAAAATTGTCTTGTATTGTTCAATCCTACTTGTATAAAAGTAGCACCAGACAGAGCAAAATGTTGCAAAACCAAGAGAGCGTTGCTGAGAGAAACGGAAGTGCACATGGACACGAAGACTTGCACCAGGACGTGCACAACGGCTTCGCTCACGGTGGCCGGCAGCCCTGCTCCTCCGGGGCGTCTCTTCCTTCTCCCGGGAGAGGAAAGCCAAGCCTGTCCACGACTTTCACCTGTTCCCAAGCATCGCACTCATCTTTGTGTCTATTTTTTCTCAGTTTAGGCAAGTTTGTAGCAAATAATATCTCCCCACATTTCTCGCCTGGGAGTGTTGGATTCCACTGTCCCGGAACCATCGCCTGTGGTCTGCGTTCACCTCTCTCTCTGGTTCTCAGGGGTCAGTGGAAGCACCTTTATTTTAGGGAAAATCTCAGGGGAAACCAAACACCGAAGCTTTCACATCCTTGGCTATTGGGTTCAAAGCTTTGGCACAAGAGTGGGATGGACCTGATTTGGAGGAATATGTGATTAGAGGATCTATTTTTATTTATTTATTTTCACTTCTCTCTCAAACACCACCATGCGGCCTGGAACGTGTATTTCACGAGGAGAGGGTGTTGGAGGAGAGCATCTCCGTGACCTTTCAAGGTCCCTGCACCTTGACCACCACTCATGGGGGTGAACGGGGGGCTGCAAGATTGCCCCCAGGTCTTCCCCAGTGCACCCACACTCAGCAGGACTGTGAACAATTCCTTGTGCCCACAGAAAGGGTCTGGAGGTTTGCTGAGGGGCTAGTGTATCCCAAAGGGGGTTGGTGGTCATCTCAAGGAGGCTTTGGGAGCAACGCCAGAGGAATGGTCTTAGAAAAGACTCCCCCTGCCAGGCTCTGAGGTTCTGTTCGAGCCCAAGTAAAAAAGATGTTACGTCAGGGAGGACAGAAGGAGAAGTCCTGGGATGACTGAGAAAACACAACTTTAATTGGTCTGTGGACCAGCGTCAACTCAGTGCAATAAACACGAACACGTTTCCCTCCTTCAGTGGGTGCTTAACTCTGAGCTGTGGAATCCCTCTGCCATGCCCATCGCGGTGTCCTGGGCAGGTTCCAACTTTTCTAGTCTTTTTGGGTTATTAGCACTCAACTCAATTTAGTTTCATACTTGGTTTAAGTCTTACCTTCTCTCTTTCTCCTGAAACAATTGGAGCTGGGACCTCACCTGCTTGCACTGGGTTGCCCGTGGGACACCCAGTCCCTCCCTCTTCGTCCCTGGCTCCTCCAGGGTGCTGGTATGGAGAGAGGGGACAGATGACAGTCACGTGATTTTACTGGTTCCCGTGGTAAGTGGGTTCTCTTGTGCTTGCTGCTTCTTCCCCGGTCAACACCATCTGGCTCTCGGTGACTCTGGGGGTGGGGTGGGGGCTGGCGTCCACAGGTTAGTTGGCTGGTGAAGAATAAGTGTGAGTTGCTCTGTGCTAACTCTCCGAGTGCTTCCCATAAGTCCAGCCACCCTCCCCCGTCTCCCTTCCTTCAGCCTTTTATAAATGCAGAGCTGGCTGTTGGAGTCATGGCAGGTCACAGGAGAGCTGGTATGACCACCTCTTAGCAGGCATTGCGGGTAGGCGTCAAGCAGCAGCTCAGATGCTTTCTCTGGCTCTACCCTTCTGGACTCTGTCTGCATACCAGAATTGCCAGGATTGCCTGGCAGGCTTTGATAAAGCGCCCATGCCCTTGTCCCACCCTCGAAGATTCTGGGTAGTTTTTCTGGCGAAAAGCTGAGCACTGGCATTTCCAAAGCTTCCCGTTGCAATTCTAATGTGGAGCGGGGAGGGTGGAACACCCTTTGGGGCACTCACCTGCCTGGCTTACAGGGTGAGCTGCAGGGTTAATTCTGGGGCAACGGGAACCGTGCTCCCCAGCCTGGCATCCTCGTGGAAGAGGCTGAATGGTTGCTGAGGAAGACGAGGAGAGCATGTTCTTCGCTGAGTTGGAGGGAGACCAGATTCAGAGGGTGAGTTACAGAAAAGAACAATCACAGTTTGCAAAACCGAGTTTTTGGCTTGTGAAAATCTCTTCCACTATATCGTGTTAGAAAAGCAAAGCATTTCTCATAGCTCTCTGCAAGGTAGGAATAGGAAGACGGACCTAGTGGTCATACTTTGTCAACTGACCATTTCCACATGTTTATTTGGCAAAGGATGTGGTTAGGGAAAACAGCCGAGGTGCCATGGTGAAACAAACCCCTGTGAGCACAAGACTGGGGAAGGCGTGTGATCAACACCTAATAAGCTGCAGAAGAATTGAGACGTCAACAAGGCTTAGTTTAGTTGTTTATATATAAACAGTTTTGTATTTAAGTGAAAAAAATCTGCCTGGAACATCCAATTCTCACAGATAGCAAGTCATAAAAGAGTGTCTATTGAATGCAGGAAAAACTGTGTCCGGAAAGATATAAACACGTGTAGATGTGAGTGTGACCGGAAATCCTGTCGCTCAATGTACTGGAAATGTGGCTAGGAAATGAAAGATAAATCACGAGAAAAATTGTAAACACTGCAACATTCGCTTTTGGAGCTGATGAGGGTGCAGATTCAGGAATAGTTAGATGTAAGCCCTGTTTAGTCACGGTGACTTTGAGAATGTTTTTTTTTTTTAAAATTTCTTTCTTTATTTAATTTTGTTATGGATGTTTCTCCTTCTTTACCCCAATGACACCCTCCTCCTCCTCCCCCGCACCCCATCCCCGGCTTTGTTGTCCATGTCCATTGGTTATGTGTACATGCATATAAGTTCTGTGGTTTATCTCTTCCCTCCCCCCACCACCTCCTCTTCTGAGGGTTGTCAGTCTGTACCCTATTTCCACGTCTCTGGGTCTACCCTATTCCTCAGACTGTTATGATCATTATATTCCACAAATAAGTGAGATCATGTGGTATTTGTCTTTTTCTGCTTGGCTTGTTTCGCGTAGGATAATACTTTCCAGGTCCCTCCATGTCATCTCAAAGGATAAAAGATCTTTCTTACTTAGAGCTGCATAGTACTCTATTGTGTATATGTACCACTGCTTTTTTATCCATTCATCTACTGATGGACACTTGGGTTGTTTCCAGATCTTAGCTATTGTAAATAGTGCTGCTAAGAACATGGTGGTACATATATTCTTTCTGATTGGTGTTTCAGGATTCTTAGGGTATATTCCTAGAAGTGGGATCACTGGGTCAAATGGCAATTCAATTTTTAATTTTTGAAGTAGCACCATATTGTTTTCCATAGTGGCTGCACCCATCTGCATTCCCACCAGCAGTGTACTAGAGTCCCCTTTTCTCGACACCCTTGCCAACACTGGTTGTTTGATGATTTGTTGATGGTGGCCATTCTGACAGATGTGAGGTGATATCTCATTGTTGTTCTAATTTACATCTCTCTGATGATCAGTGATGTTGAGCATTTCTTCATATGTCTCTTAGCCATTTGTACGTCCTGTTTGGAGAGGTGTCTATTTAACTCCTCTGCCCATTTTTTAAGTGGGTTCTTTGTCTTCTTTTT